TTTTTTTTTTTTTTTTTTTTTTTTTTTTTTTTTTTTGTTAGTAAGAGGGTACTTTTGGGTTCTATTGAAACCTATTCCAAAACAGCAGTATAGGCAAACATTTTCTATCACTTGGATATGCCTTTGAGAACTGCTTTTTATAAAATTCCCAGGGATTAGAGCCCAACCATTCCAACAATGTGGGAAGATGTTCTTAATTTCTTTATTATCCTCTTCCTCCTTACACTAATTTTCTATTAATGTGTGACAGGGGGCCATCTCACCCCACCTGGATCCCTTCTACTCAGGCGGTCTACTCTCCACCATCATACTGGGCTGCCAAGTTCCCTGAGCCCTTCTCCCTCTCGGGTGTGACCCCTTCTAGGACCTTTGGTCACACAGACCCTGGCTGCACCTTGAGGCCAGTTGGAACCCCAGGCCCCTGGCTCTGAGCATCCCTTGTGGTGGGTGGTCTGGCCCTTCAACCATTCTGGTCCTAGCCCCAGCATTGACCAGTCGAAGGTTTCTCCAGTCAGGTTAATGAGCCACTCGCCCTCTCTCTCATATGGGTCTGCCTTCTTGGGCCCCCTCCACACCCAGCTCACTCAGTCTCTAAGGCTGGCCTACACGCAGTCCTTCAGGCCCACCTATGCGACCCCTACTCTACACAGCCTTCTCACACACCATCACTGGGTCCACTGCTGTGCCCCCTCACTGAGGCTCTCAGCCTGACACCCCTTGGGTCTCAGACTTGATGACATGCCTGCACCCCTTGCCTGTCTCCTTTATGGGCTAACCCACCAGGTTGCGGGGGCTGAGGCTATATGGTGCCCCATCCTCGCCTTTCACCAAGGAGGCACTGGTGTGGCATTTCCTTGGGACCACCCTGCCACAGGCAGCCCCACCACACCATCCTCCCCAGCAGGGTGTAGATTTAGGTCATTCCCCAGGACCAGGAGCCTCCTCCATCCCCACAGTTCCTACCCTTAACCAGGTGTTCTGGGAGCTGCAGCTCCAGCTGGTGATGTTATCTCTCTGGCTCCCTGCAGTGACGCTTGCTCAGCAATGAGGGCCTGGGTTTATAGTGAGGCTGTTCAGCCCCATCCTCCAATCCAGGAGCCCCCTTCTAGTCATATGCCTGCCTCATTAAGCTGTGCCACACCGCACCAGCCAGCTGCTCCACAGCCTGTTCAAGCCTCTTACAGTGGCAGGAACCAAAGGTGCTCTGGCAGATAATGAAAATAAAAAGCAATAGCATAGGCACAAGGTATGGCACCATACAGCCTCTCTTTCCTACAGTCACATCAGCACACTACAGTTCTGATCTTTGGTACTCTTGATATTCCAGTCCAGGGATTCTTGAGTAGACAGCAGGGTTAGGGTGATGTGTAAAAATGTACCATCAAGACTAGAATGACTAGACATTTGTAACATAAGTGAGGATCTTAACTAATTTGTCCAAGGTGAAGTTACTGCACTATTCCATCCCTAGGTATCACAGAATCTGAAAATATTTAATAGCCCCAACCGTGCTCATCAGCAGCAAAACACTGAACATTTTTTTTGGAGAAATTATAGCCATATTTCCTCTACCACCAAACTGACCTACGTGAGCAGTACCTCATTTCTTTTTCTATGAAAGTGTTTGAAAATAAGCCTTTCACAATAATTTTCTTTAAAAGGGGTCAAGTTCACAAGTCATCATATTCACTTTATTTTCCCCGACTCCTACACAGAAATTGACCAGTTGCCTCTGTGCCCACACAGCTCCAATGGTTAATCTTAGCCTGATGCTGTTTCCGGAGATAGCCAGTAGAACTACAGGCACAGAGCACACTTTGAAAAAGCCATCCCCTGGGAGAAGTCTCAGTTTTGACTAAACTTTTAGCATGCAAATAAATCATTGGGATTAAATACCAAAATAAAAATTATATACATAAAACAGAGCAACAGTAAGATAACATGGGCCATCTTACCTTTCTGTACAGCCCTAAGCACTCACCCTAGATACAAAGAACAAGGCAGTACCATCTTCGATACAGCATTTATGCTGACTTCACCTCTTAGGAGGGAGTCTTCCTCCATTCTCTTTACAGTGAAGATACCTATTGGCTCAAATTCTACTTTGGCTTGCATACTGAGCACTATCAGCATTTCAATGATTTAGCCTATATCTTCATTTTAAAATGAATAGGTTATGAAGCCAAAAGAGAGCAGAACCTGATTCTGATTCATACCATGCCAACTATACTCACATGAGAGATCTGCATGTGAGAACAGAAAAAAGTAAGTAGTAAAATGTGGGCAAGAGCTTAGGCTAACTCTGTACAGAAGGTATAGCCCAATCATGATTGTCTTTTTGGTGCCAAAAGTGGGTGGGGTTTGCCATGTTCACCACTTGTCACCCCTGTACTGACCTCTGGAACCAAAAAGGATGGAAAGAGGGAATGGAGTTTCAGACCACCCCCAACTGGGAAGTAATTCTGCAAGGGCCAGCAAGAAAATCAAGCCTGCCAAGCAGATAGCCCACCTCTTCTCTATAACAGCAGAGGTCAGAAATGCTGTGGTGGTATCTGTAGGGCCAGACAATTTCCTTCCTGACTCAAAAGGCTGCTGCTCCTCCTCCAAAGCTTACAGTCAAGTTCACATTTTCAAACCTTTCTTTGGAACCATGAGTCTGGGAACATGTTTTTGCATAGAAGTTTAGATTCTCAACATCTTCATATGAATCTGACGATTGAGACCGAGTACACTTCTACTGTGCTTATGCCCTAATTAGGTTTGCCCAAATTTGTGAGCCCCACTGAGCTAATTCCAATATGCCCAACACAAGTGCGTTTTAAACATCAGCACAGTCTTCTCATAGCAAAGTCTCATTTAGCGTCCCAAGTGAATGGAGACTACCATGTGGGGACTGGGACTGGGACAGCAGCTCTCCTTCCCACCCCAACAATCCAAACCAAGGGGATTTGGAGATGTAGGGGTAGAAAAAGAAAACACAAGTGGAAGGTAGAAAAGATATATGCAGGGGGAAGGGTCAGAATGGAGAAAGTGCTTTCAGGGCAAAGCTAAAGAAAACAGCAGCTCATATTTCACTGAATACTATGGCTACTAGAGTCTTGCACAACAGCTGACCAGCTGTGCCCTTTCCTACAGTGGCACAGCTACTTACTTCCAATGCACTCCTGCCAGCAAGAGTATTTGTCTGAGGAACAATGACCAGAATTTCCCACTGGGCTATGCCCCTTTATATTGCCCACTAATGCCTTAAAAGCAAACTTAAGCTGTCCATAGATATCTTGCAGCTAGAAATAATGTTTAGTTCTGTTATTATAATAGAAAATAACAAGGCTGTGATTCTAATAAAGCAGACTCATCATTAGACATGATGTCATACATTAAAAATCTAATCCAAACAATCAGTCTGTTTCACTACAAGTAGCAAGCTTGAATGTCCTGGCAAACTGCAAAGCTACGATTTGCAAACAGTAGGTAATAATTGGATCTTGCAGCATAACCAGTACTCCAGCCTTTTTCAGAAACATAAATGACTTCATTTTGGACCTACTTTGGTCTTTTCCAGCATTTTAATAAACCTTGCATCATATGCATGAGAAGCTCACCTCATATATATTTGTGTTTTGGTGAGAGACCACACAGCTAGCCTATACCCATAATACTTCCCATTGCTTTGATGCTTTTAGCATGATAGTACTATCAGGACTGGCAACCTGTTATAGGCCACACAGCTTCTCCGACTTGAAGTGTTGCTAGAGTTAATAACTACACAATATGCAAATTCTATAAAAACAGATTTGTTCACGTGTGCGCATTTTAATTCACACAACTAGCAACTGGGCACTTTCTCAAACTGCTTTCCCATGTCCCCTAATTTCTCCCCAGGGCCCTATGCTGAAACTTGATCTCCAGTTAACTTTGTTTTAAATTTATGCTTACATTTTTTCAAAATGAACACCGTTAACCCCACATGCTGTTTTACAGAGCGGTGACGATAGACCAACAAACTGTATACTCACAAAGAAAAATCTTCGGATTCCAGATGCTAGTCTTTCTGGTTTTATCTTCCAGGTCAGGGGCAGGGGAGAGTTAAGAAGGAACACCAGAGGCTTTTGATGAATGTGCACTGATGAAATAGGATTCAAATGCAATGTGACCTGCAGAGAAACAAAGGACATGTGAATACTTCTCTATGAGCATCTAAACCAACATAAACACCACTTAAAGTGCATAAAGGGCATAAAGTGGAATTTGACACTGTGAAAAAGAAGTGACCGTAACTATATCACAGTTTTTAGGATTCAGACCTTTAGATTTGGGATTAAGAGTTAGCTTAATTCCAAACTGTCAGTCACCAGAACAAAGATAACAAAGAATGAAATAGTTAACATTTGTGCTGTGTAGTTGCAAAGCGCTGCTGAAGTGTTTAAGAAAACCCTGACAAACACTGATCAAAAAGTATCTTGCAAAAAGGTCAAACCACTCAGTTGAGAGCTAGAGAACAAGGAGATAAACAAAGAATTGCAACCAGCAAATAGAAGTCAGATTTCTGGTTTCTAGATAGAAGGCTAGAGATAGGCCTACATCTGGTGATGTTTGTGGGATTTAATCACACTTCAGCAGTTTAAAAAAAACGAACGCCATGTCTAGTAGCATAAGATGACAGTACTACAGCAGCCCGTCCCTTTCCAGGGAAGGCATATAAAAAGGCATACAAAAATAGAACAGAATAGGATTTTTAGGTTGTATTTACAGGAAACCCTTGCCATTCGCAGATTCGCCATTCATGGTTTTGAATATTCGAACTCACCCTCGCCCCACACATGCTCTTGCCATGCTCCCACCTCCCCCCACTACCATGTTGGCAGCATCTGCAGGAGTTCCATGCTTGCCACCACCATGCTCCTGACATATTCACAGATTTCACCATTCACAGGGATCTCTGGAACATATCCCCCATGAATGGTGAGGGTCTCATGTATACTATTTCCTTCCCAATCCCAGGCCCACTGCTGAGGAAATAAGCCACACCCACTTGCTCCTTGTCAATCAGCCATCAGTCCTGAGCGCCTCCTGCCCCGCAGCACCAGACAGCCTGAGTACAACCGTGTGGAGGGTAGCACGCATGTCCACTCTATGCCACTCAGACCCCTCCTAAGCTATTGTTATGGTCTTGGGGGCTAGGGACACACATTCAAAAAGCCGGAGCCTGAACTGATTCAATCTTTGCATGTTAGTCTAACCTGGCTAGGCTGAACCAGTTTGTAACTGTACAGACATTCTCTCTTGACTGAGGAAATTCAGGCACATGCCTGCAGTGGCTCAGGCTAGAAGCCAGGAGGCACTAAAGTAGCCCTCCCTCCCCTTAAACAGTGCTGAGCTGAGGGGGGTGCTCTCATAAGAGAAACTTATAAACCTCCACCCTGCCTGCACTGTCCCAGGCTTATTCCTGCTTGTTGCTCAAGGGGTGGGAGTGCTGCCAGACTCCCAGCCCCCTGCAAGCACTCTGAGGCAAGGGGGGGGGAGGTGTGCAGTGCATGCATCTGCTGATGATACAGAGCTTTTCAATCTCCCTGCTTCTTTATACTGTCTGCAGCAAACTGACAGGCAAGCAAGCCAGCAGGGAGCTGATAACAGTGTTTATCACCTCATCAGCAAAACAATAGCCTCTCTCTGTTAGTTCAAACTCTTCTTAAACAACTTACCAGCTGACCTGTTGATTAGCTCCAAAAAGCCCTAAGCAGTCACTGTTCTGCCTGCCAATCCCAGTGAAATGGAAGACACACACAGACACCTCTCGCCATTAGTTAGTATACCACATGACTAGGGTCTGTGGGGCTGGGGTCTGTGCTGTGGGAGATGGGAAGGGGGATCCCTGCTTCAGCAGCAAGCAGTGAGGGTAGGGTGGGGCAGGGGGTGATCCAGACAGACCCTGCTGTACCTGCAGTCTCTGCTGGAGCTCTGGCCAGGAAGCAGAGGGGAGGGGCCAGGTCTGCTGTAGAGCAGAGAGCCCTGCCCAGTCCAGAGAGCATGCTGGGATGCTGGGGGAGTTTGGTTTATCTTAAACCAGCAAGGTGTCTGGGACAGACATTGCATAAACCAGTTTGAGTCAAATCAGTTAAGTCTGATTTATCTTATTTATTTTCTGATTTATCTTGTTTATTTTTTAGGTTCATCTCAAACTGGTTTCAGCCATTTTCAAACAGTTTTACGTGCACTGAACACCGGTTCTGTTACAGGTTTAAACCAGTTTCTGATCGCTTAAACCAGTTTATGTGTAATGTCTTTCCCTAGCCAAGGAACTAGAAAGGACCACATGGAAACAGACATAATAGGTAAGAGTTTTCAGTGATCTCCATAACAAAATAACAGCCATGCCCTTAGACCTGCAGAGGACAAACCTCTATGATGATTAACAGACTGGAAAAACAACCAGTATTCAATTCTTCTCAGGGAGAAAAACAGCAGTAGTAATTGATTGCTGTCCCAACATACTAGATTTTCCAAAGAAGGTTTTAATTTATACCACAACAGTGAAAAATACAGTGACTGAAAACAGTGTCTAGTCTAGTTAAGATTTCAAAAACAAAGAAATTACGTCAATTCAGTGCCACTGAACAGGGCACAAAGGGATTAGACAAGTCAAATGTTTTTCAGTTTATGTTTGTCAGACTGAAAGCATTTGAATTAATGCAAATGTTTCTCTCTCCATCTTAACAAGTTGAGTCTAATGACTAACAGTTTAACTGGGGACATCTGTGTACAATGCTTTTTCTGTATGCTGTGATGATGATGATAGTAGAAGGGAAGATATTTTGATGGCACTACTACTGAAATAGAAAAGGGGAAATATTTGCAAGACATTTAAAACTTTTTTTCTAGAAAGAAAGTAATAGCAAGGAAGTCTAACTGTAATCATAGCAAGAACACCTGTTACAATTAGATCCAATACTCCTTTGCTCTTTAATCACCAAGCTCTCTGTGAAAGAAATATAGGGTTGATATATTATAGGGAAAGTAGTAAAAATGTTTGTCTCCATTAAGCCAGAAGTCTTGAGCATTCGTTGTTTGAAAGACAGCACGATTCAAACCTCAAGCAGATCTGATTCCTCATTTTAGAGTGAACTGAGTGGGCAGAAATAGAATTAATCAGAAGGCAGAGGATAGCAAAGATTTAAGATCCTTTTTGCACAAGACCAGTATAAGAAAATGCAATCAGAAAATGAGAACCAGGATGACTAGCAATCTTTCTGCAGAAGTATGGTTCTTGGCTTTTGAATTCATTCAGATTTGTAGCAAAACCAGTAGGAATGCAATTGAGATGCATACTACACACATGCTAAGTGTGCAACTTGATTCGAGTGAAAAAGTCTTTGTATGTAGCTCAAACTTTTCAAGAAGATATAGTTCTCTACAACTCTCACCAAGGAGTAAGAAAAAAAAGTTCACTTTTACTCACGTGGTATTCAGTTTAAAAGAGTATGCTAGTAGCAAATTACAAGAAAAATCTGAAAGAAATTTAGAAGTCTTTGGAAAACTGCAACTGCTCCTATTATTTGTTGCATTAATCTTTTGCATCAGCAAACTAGTGGACCAGCTGCCAAAAGTGAATAAATTGCTATTACAATAAAACAGAAATTCTCACTGTACAAACTGATCGGTGAAAGCCAGATCCCAGGATATTGGTATGAGTATTACAAAGGAAAGGGTTTTTTTGTTTTCTTCAGGTCTGCATATCTGTTCTAGCCTGTAATCCCCACAATGAAAGTCAAATCTAGGTCATACCCATATGATTGAGGAATAGAATCAAGATGGCTATTTCCATCTGCTCAGTACATTGCAAGGAACTGGCAAACTTCATGCAGCTTATCATCATAGCTTTGCGTATAATTGGATATTTGCCACATACAGTTAATTACACCAAGACTTTCCTAAAATCTGTTGTATTTTGTGCTACTCTTAAATTATGTTGGTCTCAACTAGATTGCCATAGTGATAAAACTGAAGACTGCTAAAAACACATAGCAGGAAGTATGGGTGACCTCAGTGACATTGCCTACATGTTTTATAGCTTGCTAAGAGTTGACTAATTGAACATCTGATATTATCAGAACCAATCATGAGGGAAGAGCAACAAAATGAAACGATGGAGTGGGAGTGATTGCTGAGCTTGTACTGTGTTAACTGATGCTGGGTTAGTGTCCAAAGCAATTTTTTGGTGCTGCCATCTTGGCTCTGCAAGATCCTCATGCAAAAACACTGCAAAAAAACAAACCACCCCCGAGTTAGAGGTGAATTCCAAGGTCAGTCTCAAAGGATAAGTGCAGATGTTTAAAAAGCATCTGCATCCTGGTTTTAAGGATGGCCTGATAGAAGAGGTTTAGCTTATCACACTTTACTCAAAGCATGGTAAGTTAAAACAGGAGCCAGCCAAACAGATGTTCACTGTTTGGTGGAGGGGCTCACAGCTTGTCCATATTGGCTGCTGGGGGCACTCCCAGTCCTGTCCTGTTCCCCACCCCCAACCGGTGACTGTCAGTAATGGCTGAAGGAGAAGGAAGGGGACATAATCCCCTGCTGTGAAGGTCCCCCTACAGCTTGCTAGCTGAGGACTTGGGGGGAGGGTGGGGCCAAGTCTTCATGGGGGGGAGGGTGCTCCCCTCACCCCCAGCCTCTTGAACACACACACACAAAAACAGCAAGCTTGGGTTTCTGTTGATTAACCTAACATCCCAGGTTTGCCATTTTAAACTCTCTGCTAGTTTAAAATGTTTCCACTAATTCTTGTGATCTTGTCATCATTGCTGTTTAGTAATGAACAGTTTAGGGTATTAAATATATTTCTCTTGCTCTTACTTTGCAAGGGAACTAAGACATGAAACAGGAGGACCCAAGCAATAAGCACAAATATTGGTTTACCAAAACTCAAGTTACATCCTTTGCAAAACTGGTCAGGCAAGCTTGTGTTCACACTTTTACTGAGTTTTTCTTTAGGCTTTGAGTCAAAAAACATATTTAATATCAAATGCCTAAACTGTATAGTCTCAAACAAGAAAAATAATCAAATATTCTAAACTATCTTCACATAGCAGAGGTGTAAACAAGTAGGGGCAAATCTGGCAGGATACTGCAGAAAGCAGGTTTCTTTGTTTTTTTG